AGAATGCGGTGGCTGCTTGGTCCAGATCAATTCTCCGTGCTCGGAGTTGACCCATAAGTTCAGTGGTAAAGACGGCTTCGCTGATATGTTTGCTGCATGTGAGATGGATGTCGAAGCCGTGTGCGGCGTAACGTAGCCAGTATGATGACCAATTGTGTCTTAGAAATGCGACCAATGGTGCTGTTGCGATCGGCATGCCTGCCGTGCGGTTGTGCACTGAATGTGGTGTAGATTGAATGTGTTTGGGTAGGTTGAGGCCGTAAAGCTGTCTGTTGTCCCAATGTTCTGGTGTTTGAACGAAGTCGTTTGGTATCTGAGGATTTGCAGGCGTGAGATTGGTGTGTTGTTGTTGTTGGGGTGTGACGGTGGCCTGAGGCAATGTATGTGAAGAAATGCTGGGGTTTTGAGTCGTCATCGGAGATGGACTCACAAGTGTGTGTTGGGGAGTGGCAGGTGTGGGTGTTGGCAGTGTGGTGGGTGAAGCTGGGACGGTAAACTGCTGGGGTGGGGGAGGGGGTGGAGGGAAAGGGGGAAAAGTGGTGTTGTGGCTGTAAGGGTGAGCTGAACCCCAAGTAGTTGGGGTCATGGGTGGGGTGTGGGGTGGGATGTTGTGGATCCCTGGTGGTGGGGAAATCGGGTGCATTGGGGTGCTGCTGGTTGAGGCTGTTTGTCGCTGCACCGCACTGATTGCTGTACCGATGATGCCTGTTGGCATTGTTGTATGCCACTGAGGCTGTGTCGGCTTGTACATGGTTGCAAAATGGGGCACTACAATTGCCTGTGACTGCAAAAGCTGCAAATAGCACGTGCATGGACAACATAGTTGGCTTGAGTGTCAGCATCTACTTGTGCAATGCATCCAGCATGCAGCTGCATCGTCTCTTCTTTGGCTCAAAAGCGGGGTCGGAGCAAATGCTTGATTGCATACAGCTATGTGCAACGGGATTCAGGCCTGGAAGAGAAAGGATACTCGAGAGTGAAAGGTAGAAACGGAAGAAGAAAGAAAGTAATACAGAACATCACTGAATAAGGCCGAATCCAACGATGCTGAAATGCCCCGAGTGGAATCCCCACTTCTCTGGGGTCCGCACAACACCCTTTCGCCCCACGATGAAGGCCTCTCTATACATGTCCCGATACGTCATCTTGTAATGCTGATACTTAGTCCGTATTGTCCCGATGACGATCACTCCCTGTTGGCCCTTCGGCCGCCGTGTACATTGATCGGTTACTATATGTACCGTGCTTTCCGATACATCTCCTGGGGTCGCATTCCCGTATATGACGCAAGAGGGAATGGGTGGGTAGGACTTGTCGTCGAAGCAGTGTCTGACTGAACTTGGGCGGACCAAGTCCTCGCGCATAATGCGCGCGGCACTTGCAATGCTCGTGCCGTGTCCGGCGGTGTAGATGTATGTCTCTCCTGGTGGGTCAGTGGCACGGGTGCCGAACGCTCTGCGCTGCTCTCCAGCCCAAGGAATGAATAACATAGTATGCACGCCGTCCGATATTGGCGTCAGCACTGCCCCAAGTTCGTTGCACGCTGATCGCGTGCCTGATTGTAGCACTGCATGTGCAAATTCGGCTAAAGTCTCCTGCCTGAAATCGCTGTCAGCAGCTATCTCGCCCAAAGTTTTGGCGAGTTTGTGTGCTTCTTCCATGTCGACGGCGTGAGGGGTCGGCTTCTCATGTTCGTAAAGCTCAGAAAATGGCGCCACATCAATCTGTGGTGGTCTGCTCTGTTTGCCCAGTTGTTCGAGGGTTGGCTGACCCGATGGGGCAACGGCTGTTGATGCATCGTAGGTCGGGGCAGGTGTCCGAACGGAGCTGGAGGGATTGTGCTGAGCCTGTTGGCGGGAGGAGGTGCCCTGTCCGGCTGGGGGCTGCTGTTGTGCTGCTTGGCTGCCCTTGATGCGGAGGGCGATTCGTTGAACCTGCGAGGCCAATGTCCTTTGTGGGACCTTGGGTGGGGTGGGTGGCCTCTGACGTAGCTGTGTGGCTCTGTAATGCCACTTGTTGGTATCAACATCACGCACTGTAGAATAGCTGCGGAGCACAACCGAGGTCCGCGGAGGTGTCGACGAAGATCGCCTGGTGTCCCTGCGAGAACGACTTCTGCGGGTGTCGCGGGATCGGTGGTGTCTGCGTCGGCGGTGCTGTCTCCCGCTGCTGGCAGGTCGTGCTCTGCTGCGTGTGCGTCGTCGGCGTCTAGTGCTCACGGTGCGGGTTCTGCTGCGTGTGGGTGAGTGCCGTCTCCTGCGTGGCAACGGAGGATGGTGGGAAGAAGCACGTGCTGCGAGCGGGTCAGTGTCTCCCGATCCCGTAGCGGGTGGTGGTTGTGTGGGTGGTAATGTGCTGACAGAGGGTGTGTTGGCTGTGCTTATTGGCTGGGGTTGGGGGGTGATTGCCGGTGTCTGTGGGGCAATGTGTGCAGCATCGGTAGTGGTAACATTGGTGGGGTGAGATTGTGAAGCTTGTTGGAGGGTCGTTGGCGGCGGTATATGGGATTGTTGAGCGGGTTGTGTGGAAGGGATGCTGCAAGGTGCAGGTTGGGGTTGTGGAGCAGGTGGTGTGAAAGGAATGTTGTATGTCGCAGGCTGGGAGTGATGCGGTGTCAGAGGTGATGGGCTCGTGGGAAAAACTGTTGTATGGGTAGGCAAAGGACCAGGGTTCAAGAAAGTGGGGGGATGTTGCGACATGAATTGCTGGGGTGGAGGTTGTTGTGGCATCTGGGGCTGTGGTGTGCTGAGTTGTGTGTATACCATCGGATGCTGTGATATAGGAGCAGTGTGTCCACATGGCATCATGGGGAAGCTATGTGTCTGCTCAACGGGGATCGTAGTGGGTTGCGTCGGCAGTGTGTGCTGCTGAGTGGCAGCAATGCCAGTTGGCATCATTGCTGGGTATCCTTGTGACTGCGGTACCCAGGTGTTCGGGTGAAACTGATTGAGCACCGGTCGGGTTGTTGGTGCGTATGGTGTTGCTGGTGGCTGCGTGGTAAAATAATCCGGCCACATAGCTGCAACGAAGTTGGTGAAACAAACACAGTTGCACAAGCAAAGTGCAGGCTGTCCTGGTTGTCCCTGCTGGACGGACTTGAGAGGTCGAAGACGGAGAGAAAGAAGAAGGCCGATTACTTCCCGGAGGAAGCGCTGCTTCACTTGCGTTAGACACATGTTACCACGCCTGCCCTCATGTCAGTTGCACATGCCCTTGCAGTCCCTGAGAAATAAAGAAGCGGTCGAATAGAGGACAGACTAGCGAGGTAGCACCTGCTCACTAGACGCACTTTACTGCATTAGCCGTCCATTACTGCACCTGCACTCATGTCAGACGCACATGCGAGCATCAGAGAGAGAGAGATAAAATAGCATCGGGAGAATCTGAACGATCTGAACGAAGGCTGAACACCCGGTTCATCACCGGTCTCCCCGGAGGGTCACCACGGCGCCATGACGGAAAGCCGTTGCTCTGGAGTCTCAACGACCCACGCTGATCACACTGATGGATTCGGCCAAGAGTACGAGTGCAAAGGACAAAAAGAGAGGAATGTTGTTCATGTTGCAACTGTTTGTCAGATTGCGGCAACCGTACAAATTGTTTGTCTAATCTGGACACCACAGGGGGCCTGTCCTCAGACTAATCTTGGCACCACAGGGGGCTGCCGAAAATTGTGCAGGTACATGACTGAGCGTCCTCAATCACTTCCCTTCCAGTGACCTAGCTTCGTTGGATCAGGTCAGTCACTGGAAGCCTGATCCCCCTGCAACAGTTGATTTGGTAAATGTCCGATGTCGGATTATGTTGAAAAGCGAAATTGCAAACAGTGTAGGAGTGACCCTCTGCTCCCATGTGCTAGGGAGGTTCACACACACACACACACACACACACACACGCACACGCACACGCACACGCACACGCACACGCACACGCACACGCACACGCACACGCACACGCACACCCACACACACACACACACACACACACACACACACACACACACACACACACACACACACACACACACGCACGCACACACGCACGCACGCATACAATAGGGCACAGTGATATAAAGTGAGATATCCAAACCCTGAAGGTTCCTTCTGATTCCTCACTGTCTTTGTGGTTTGCTACAGAGGAGGTCTCTACAACAGGCCCAGTCAAGCCGATGTGGCTCCCGACACGTCTGCGGCATGCACCTTTTTGTTCGCCGCGAGCTCTCGAGCCAAGTCTCGGTTAGGTGGTGACGGCCACGGCGAAATGCCGGAGGCCAGCACTTTTCCGCGTAGCCCGCTGCCCGTTGCTGACTCGACGAGCCTGAAAGGTCCCTGAACGACGCCTCCCAGCTTCTATGGTCCCCCTCTCTGTTTAGGCTGAATGTTGTTCCGTGCTCATTACAAAAGGGAGTGGCAGAGGCCCTGTCAACACAAGCCGCACGCATGTCTAGACGAAAAAAGGCCGGGTCAAGAGAAGCGCCATAGGCATTCTACCTTGCTCTTGCTGACAGCTTCTGACGGCTACCCGAGGACTTTTCGAGGAGGCGAGCTTACGGTCTTACAGTCTTACAGCTGACACAGAGGGGGAGAGTTGATTGCCTATGACGCCTCGCTGGTGGCCACGGCTGATGACAGCTGTGCGGCAAGGCCCAGCGACCAAAACCAAGAGGCTTGGCCGGTGGCGGTGAAATCAAGGAGCTCAACGCTTTTGCTGCTTCGCAATAGAAAACATAGTTGGCAAATCCGCGGAACGAGCAGGCAGTGGCTGCGGCTCTTCTGTCTTCTGGGTGGGGGCTTGTGCATCTGGGGGTCTGGGGGGATCCAGAGGTTCAAGGAAAGCAGCAGCCAGGCCTGTGAAAGCTACAATAGGCTTCTCAGAAGGAGCCCTGTCATTGATGTGTCTGAAAGGGGAAGCCTCTCAGCTTTGGGAGCAGCCCGCTTCGTCCTGTGCAAACTTCGACGGAAACGCCTGTGCAAGCTGCGCCCTTTACGATGCTTTACGCCTTACGCCTCACTGTAGCCCAGCTCCCCAGCCCAGCTCTCCCCAGCTCTCCCCGGCTCCTCGGCCTCCCCTTGGCCAGGAGCGCTCTTCGGGACGGCCTCCGCCTTGGGCGCCGGCGCCTGCGCAATGAAGCGACGCAACTTTCCTAGCCGTCCCAGCCGCTTTTGACCCCCCGGCCCCGGCGCCTCTGCGGGGACGCTTGCCGCCGCCGGGGCTGCTGCTGGGGCGTTGGGAGTGGGACTCGGACTCGGGGCGCTTGGCTTCTTCGGCACCACCAGCCCTGCAGCGCTCGGGGCCGCGGGGCGCTGCTTCGGCGAGGCCTCGCAGACACCGCTCCGCTCCGCCGAAAAATCCGCAGAAAAGAGAAGCCGCAACGCGCTTGCGGATTGGCCGCCTGCGGCTTCGGAGCCGGAGCGGACTTCGGCACCGACGCCTTCGAGGCCGCCTTAAGCGACGCGTCACGACGCGAGTCCGCTCCGCTCTGCTCTCTCCTCTCGCGCGGCTCCGCTCTCAGTGGGAGGCCTTAGCGGCCGGGCCGCCGCCGCTCCCCGGGGTCTTGGGAACCGCCTTGGCAGGGCGAAAGCCGAAACGCGAAGATGCCGCCGCGTCCGGTTCCGCGGTTCCGCGGTTCCAGCCTTGGCCGCCTGGAGCTTCGCTTGGGCCGCTGCCTGCAGAGCATTGCAAGGCCTGGCGTTGCCATGCGCTCATCCGAGCCTTGACGACGGTGGCCATATTCCGTGCAGCTTGCGATGTCGCAAGCCTGCGCAAGGGCCGCAAGCAAATGCAAAGCTCAAGCGGCCAACATCGACAACCGACGCTTGGCACATCTTGGCATTCTTTGTCGCTGTTGGCGTGGCCGGACTCGCGCGGCAGGAGTTTCGGAAACCTGCCAAGCCAAGCACCGGAAAACACGAGCACGCCGCGGGTCTCGAACCCCCCCACCCCGCAGGCAGTGCAGCCGCCAGCCGCACCTCGAAGTGGCAGCACCGATCCCCGGCACTTCGCGGAGCTCCGCAGATCTTTGCAGCTCGGCTCGGGGTCAGTGCGAGGAGGCCACACGGGCATAGGCGAGAGAGGACCTCAAAGGACAAGTCTGCATCGCAGCGGCAACGCAGCGGCAACGCAGTCAAAGGCTGGCAAGCGGCCCCACCACCATCAGCGCCGAACAGTTCAGACGGCAGCTCGAGCTGGAGCTGGACTGCTTGTCGGCCTGACAGGACCGGCCGGTCGCGAAATGACACAGCGCTTCAGCGCGCCCAAACGAGGCGGCCAGGCGGCGTAGGTTAGGGACATGAAGTAAATGATCGCCACGCCTCAGACATGTGGGATATGTGGGCTTGGCACCGACGGCACCTCATTATGTCATGGCACCTCGCGGAGCTGCAGCCAAGACGCAAAAAGCTTTCATTATTGACTTTGTGAGCGCCGAGAACTCTTGCAAGAGCCAGTTGCTTGCGGTGGCATCCAGCATGAGCATCACCACGATGGCAACCTCGGAGGAAGAAGGCGGAGAAGAGAGAAAAGAGAGGAGAGGGAGCCCCCCGCCGTTCGCCGATCCCAGGAGTCGAAGAGGCAGCCGGGGCGGCGCTGGCGGTCGAAGACGTTCTCCTCCGCATCCTCGGCTCAGCCACACCCGAAGGAGCCCACCAAAGCAGCATCCCGACTGCGGACTCGCAGCGAAGCAGGGCATCACGAAGAGCATCGCGAAGTTCAGCAGAAGATATCCGAAGTCCTCTCACGGAGCCCCGCGGGCCCCCCCCTGCCGGAGCTGAAGCGTCGCCCGTCCGGCCTCCGAGACCTTCTTCGAGAAAAATGGCTTGTCTCCACCTCCGAAAAAGGCAGAGCCGTCATGCTCCGTGCCTGCGTGCCTGTGTCTTCCAGTCTTCCAGTCCCTGACCTTGAAGCCTTAAGACAACTTCTGACGAGGCCAAGCGACTCTTGTACGCACGCTCGGCAAAGACGCCTTAGGACGGTTGGCATGAGCACAAGGTTCCAGGAGCCTACCATCTGAGTCCGCAACCGCCAAGCACATTCAACAGGATCCAGCCTGCCAGGGCTCAAAGGCAATGCCGCAATGCATGGTTTAGAGGGATCCCCGACCGACCTGCCAGGAGGAGCAGTCCTCAAGCAGCTTCTTTTGTGATTGTTGGTGTATCGGTGTATGTTGGTGTATCATGTAGAACCGACATTGCAGAGAGGGTCCTCGAACATCGAGCTGGTCGTTGCTGTCCTTGGTTCGCCGGCCCTGCTGCTCCTTCAGAATCAAGGCGATGACACTGCATGCCTGGCTTCCGCTCGTCTGAAACGAGTGCCTTGCACCACATGAAGAAGAAGCAGCTGACCGCCACTGCGGTGATGGCCTGGTCAGGCTTTCGATTCAAAGCATGAGCATGAGCACACTGTCAGGGCATATGGCATCCGGTGCTTGTATGGGCCCCTGCAGTGACATGACGACTGGAAGTCATGACTCCCCGTATCTACGGATTGCCGCAGGGATCCATACCGTCAATTGGTCTTCTCCACAGCGACCATTTAGGAGGACAATTCAAAGCTGCCTGCCACTGCTCTCTGGAGTAGTGCCGCGACAGCAGGTACGTGGAGACCAGTGCAACCAGTGGAAGCCGCAGCCTGAGCTGTGTCAAGAAGAGGCTCCCGCAGTGCAGAGACGCAACATTGTTCGCCGAAGCTCTGCCCGAAGATCTTGATCGTCCCTGCATTGAAGTAGCCGACGGCCTCGCGGGAAAGCCCGGGGTGCCCCAGAAGATTTCACGACGCGAACTTTCGCGAGGTTCCCGGCCCGCATCTTCATGGACATCCCCACGCCAAAGAAGAGGCACACGGGGATAAACTCGAGGAACTTGTGGCGATCCAGGCCTCAAGAAGCGGCACCCTGATCTGGGAGCTTGGAGTAGTCTGGTTTTGCAGGCTTGAGCTACGGCGGACTTTCCGAAGTGGGTCTTCGTTGCAACCTGGCAGCATTCCCACACAGCGTCGAAGCCGCCCGAGCTCCCCTGCACTGCAAGGCCTGCGGCAAGTTGGGCACAGAATCTGTCGTTGGGGCAGAAGGCTGGAAGGCTGGGCCTACGATGATAGCCAGGAAGGGCTCGATCACGAGGACGGACTGTCCTGAGGCGAGGCGAGGCGAGGGCCAGGAGAGAGAGAGAGCGCGTGGATGGCACCGAGTACCGAGTGCTGCGCCGCTACGCCTGCGGCCAAGCGGCGGACGTATCTCTTGCCCACCCCGCCCTGCGACGTGCGCCCTTCGGCCCAGTCGATCACGAAGGCCTGGCCTCAGACCGCGGCACAGAACATTCATTGTGGCGTTTCCCGATCTGGCCGGGCCTATGTCGACAAGGCCGAAGAGCAACAGGAAGAGCCACTTCTGCCTCGCCACAGCGGCCACAGCCATGGGTGTGGCCCCCCAAAACCCTTCCACTTCTGCCGCCCAAGCGCTTGTGGCCAGGAGCCGCCTCTGCAAAAGCCTTGGGGCCATGGTACCACTGACACTGGAGGTAGCAGCGCTCTTCCAGGGATTCCGTCGTAGACGGAATGTGCAATCCTCATGACTCTCATATCCTTTCTACCCAGTATCGCTAGGTCCTACACGCCGGCACCTGGAAGGCTTCTGAAATTCGCAACTCGCTGAGAACTCGCGCCGACTCGGCAGTAGCACTTTTCGCTTGCTTCATGTGATGTTTATGTTTGGCAGACGTCCTTGCATGTTTTCAAAGTCTGCCCTTGTCTTCGTCGCAGCGTTCAGGTCCAAGTTGTTTGTGATGTAGCGGCACTCTTGCTCTTCGCAAATTGCACGCACTCTATTGGTTATAGCTCGTTCCCACTGTCTACCGCTTTTCGTTGCTGTGTGCGTTCGTGCTGTTTGCTGCTCTTGCTGTCACTGCTTTCGTGATTGCCCGTTTTGCTTTCCTTCCTTTCAGCATGGGCCTGCGGCAGGAGATTCGACCAGCACCGGCATTGAAGGGCTCTTCAACCGCGAAACGTGATGACCTCAAGACCTGGGACGCCTGGGACGCCGGCAACCGCGCGTGCCTGCGAATTGCTGAAATTTCTCGTGGCCAGTAGACCGGCCAGCAGTCCTCCTTGGCTTCCGAAGCACAGCATAGCACGGCTACACTACACCTCTTGCCATGCCGGGCGTCCAAGGAGTCCAGCGCGCGATGAGCTCCAGCGACGCCGCCTCCTTGGGAATTCCATCTCCGGCATGGCAGCTTTGGCCAAGCTTTCGGAGCATGCGTGCATCGTGCACTTGCGAAAACAAGGTCTGGATTTGTCGCAGTACCGCAAGAACCCTACGAGTGTGAGCCTAGGTGAAGGACTCGCATGTCTCATGCTTCTGAACCTGCTCGCATGACAGATGTACCGCTTACGAGAGTGTCTGCAAGAACTGTGTAGTGTGGGGATAGGCGTGAACTCTCGACAACTCTCGTGCCGTGGGTGGTCTTGTCACGCCAAGCGCATATGGGGCAGCTAGGCTCGTCGCCTGAATTCTGAGCTTGAAACGGCAACGGCAACAGCAAGAGCGGCAGAGCGGCAAGGGCGTTGCATCGGAAAGAGCTGGGCGAAGCTGGGCTTCAGCTGGGCGCACTGGTTCAGCTGTCCCTGGCGAGGCGTAAGATGCGTGAGATGGTGGACGGACGAGAGCAAGAGCAGCTAGAACTCCCCGAGTTTGCCGAGTTCATCGTAAGCCGGAGCCGGTGAGGCAGCGAGCTTCGCCTGCATCGCCTGAGCGGGGCGGCGGAGGCGCTGACGCCCAGTTGCGATGTGCCCAGGAGATCCGAAGGCCCCCCCGATAAACCCAGTGCCTCAGAGAGGTTCGCTGCAGCTGCCTCGCGGGCTAGGGCCGCTAGGGCTGGGGCTCGGCTTCAAGCGCCAAGAATGCAGAAACGGTGCTGAAGGCTTGCCATGACCAGCAATCTTGTGTGCAGATCGACAACCGCGCCTGCTGTTGTAAGGCTGCATAGGGATCAAGGGACCCATAGCCACTGCCTGAAGCCCGCGATTTCAGATAATCACGCCATGGGATCGCGGGAAACTCTGGTCTGGGGCCACAACCGTAGGCGTTCATGTATGGATTCATATACCTGTCAGCTGCGTCAGCGAGGCAAAGTCGCCAAGACTAGCATGGCCGACGTGCACGTGCGGGAGGGCACGCATTATACGAATTCCATGGCATCTGGCTGTAGGAGCCTCGAGAGCACGAAGAACAAAGAACCGAAATCATCGCATGCGAATGGAGAAGTCGGCATTTTCCAAGAGTTTCACTCTGTCTGGCCGCAGCAGCTGCAGCTTGCATCCTTGGGCCACACTCTGGGAATGTCCGTCGCTGATACCATGAGACGATTGCAGTTGCCGAATCGATCACCATCAGCATGGCTGCTACATTTCCTCGGACATCTATCGGTGCTCACTACGGGCACTCACACTGCACGAATTTGCGGAAGCGATATAAGATCTCAAGCTTTCTCGCAATTTGTAGAACACTCACCACTCTGAGGCTAACGACGATGTTACTTATCCATACTTACAGACTTACAGACGCCACTTGCCGCCCAAGAACTGAGTCATGGCCTGCATGTAGGCCGCAGCCTGCGACAGACCCGAAGCATGGACTCCGCTAGGAAGCTGCTCTGAAATTGTTTTCCAGTTGTAGACTGTTAACTTCTAGCCCCGCAGCTCTGGGTGCACAGATGTTGCGGCTGTGTGCTTATCCTTGCTCGCTGTGGCATCTCTCTGTCGAGCTCTTCGCTCGCATGCCCTTCTTTCCTCTCGCCATCCCAAGTGTCTCCTGGTGGATGTTGCTGCACTAGCCGCTAGCCTTGCTGCTTTCATTGCTCACAAGATTCTGACTCTTGGCCTGCATGGCGTGGGCCGCATTTCGGCCGTCCAAGGAGCCGGCCAGGGCCTGTTGGGATCCCAACACCGCTGCGCTTGGCACTTCAGGAGCCGGAGCAGCCGGAGCCTGCTGTTGCAGCAGAGCGGCCTGTCAGCCGGTCAGCACCACGAATCCTGAAATCTTTCGAGTCTCGGCCTGGGCGGCGCTAGGACTTGCGCTGGAGCCGGCTTTGCCTCAGAGCTGCTGTGCAACAAAAGCACTCTGCTCGCTGCGGATTTGGAATGACATTCCTCCCAGACCCCGTATACAGTTCACCTTGTTGAAGTGTCAGGAAACTCGCTTGCAGATTTTGGAAGAAACGTGAGCGGCCAAGAGGGGTTTAGCTAAAGCCTCGTTGGGCCAGGACTTTAGGCCAACAAGCACCAACAGCCCCGCACTCGCCTTGGGCAACACTACTGCCACGGCAACATCGGCAGCAGCACAGCCCCCGAAGGCAACACGTGTAGGTTTAGGTAAGCTTTCATGTATGCGCGCTGAACCGGCAAAATACAATGTCCACCGCTGTGAGAGCTCATTGCGAACATCGACACGGGCCTGCGCTCAGTGCAGCGGCAGACAGAGTCGAGCTCCAGTTGGTACTACCTGGCTCCAGGCACGGGACTCTCTGCCAGGGCGTGCTCAGACTGAGACCCAGCAGGGACGCTCCGGGAGGCCTGAGGAAGGCGTCGCTTTGCCTCAAAACGATCCACCGTGGCGAACGAGGCGAATCCCGCGAAGATGCACTCACGGCTCGCGGCATCTCGCGGCTGTGGTTTTCGAGGCCCGAGCTCATGGCCTCCAACTTCCTGGGGGCGCAGACAGCAGAAGCGAAGAAGCGCAAGGAGCGAACAGAGCTTGTGGAGACTGCGATCTGCACAGCTCGGCCGAGGTGCGGCATGTTGCGCCCGAGCCACTTCTCGAAGGCGCGCTGCTGCAGAGGCGGCCAGGGGACATTCGAAGAGCAGCTCAGATCGAAGCGGTTTGCAAGAGCCTTCCCTTCCTCGTCCTCCTCCGCAGCGGCTGCGTCACCCTCCTGCCGAGAGCAGCGGATTGTGCGTTGCACCCGTCGCCTTCACATGCTGAGCCACTGGCCGTGAGCTCCACCTGGGCTCTGTGGCTGTGTTGGCGTCCAGTACGAGGAAACATCGGAGAGGTTCAGGGAGAGGGAGGGAGGGAGGAGGTGCCAAAGCTGAGAAGCTGAGTGCATGGCTGCCGGGGCGGTCTCTCTGTCGACCTCGCTCGCTCACTGCCGGCAGCAGGCCCGCCCGCGAAGGCGTTGGAATATCTGGGCCCGTCGCGTCAGCATCCCGGCCCGTGCCGGTGGCCTCGCAACGAGGGTATAGCCGGTGTGCACGGAAACCGAAAAGCACGCGCTTTTTCCCAGGCTTGCCTTCGACCTCCGCCTGCTGCCCTCCTCCTGCTCGCCCTGCTGCGCACCTCGGTCGGCTCGTCCACTGTGTTGAATTCTGTGGAATGCTCCAGAGCACCTGCTTCGCCCTCCTCGTGCTTTTCCCGGCCCGTGGCGATTCTGGTGAGAAGGACCGAGTCCTGTCGCCGCAGTTGGAGATGGATAGTATTTCGAGCGACAGCCATTCGGGGCGTTTCTGCTCCTGGCCTTATTGTCCTTGTCGATGAGGGGGTCCAGCTCCGGCTTCACGTTGGAGGCCTGAGGCGTCGGTGAGTGAGCGTCTCGCCGCGCCCGACGAGGGCCTCCGAGTCACCGGCCGCCAGACGGGAGATCGACAGCAGCTGCCCCTGAAGCCAGGGAAGAGAGAGGGCGGGACGGGGCTGATGCAAAATCGCCCGTGACTGCTGGCCTTCTCATAGCGGATGATTTTCGGGCCCCCCGCCTCGGTGTACGAGTCCGACCATCCTGTGTTCCTGGAGCCCTCCCAAACGAGGCGCGAGCCCTGAGCATCTTCATGATGGCGGCGGCGTGCTCGTCCATCTCCTGCAGAGACACGAGCCGGGCCAGGACGGGGCCCCGAGCGCTCTGCCGGCGCCGGTCGGCGCCTCCTCGTCGGAGTTCGGGCCCTCCGCCTCGGAGCGGCCAGGCCGGCCAGGCTTGCAGCTAAAATGCCACAGCATCCACAGCTTGGAAGCCTCGGCCCCAGCGCCCTTCTTGTGTTTCCCTTTACCTGGACGGAAAGCAAAAAAACAGCTGCGGCACAAGCCACAGGGCACAGGGCAGGCCAGCAGACAGCCTCTCCCCTTGCTTTTTCCGTCGCCGTCCTGAGTCGGAAGTGCAGGGGATGAAGTGCCGTCGCGGGACTCTTCGGCGGCACCTCCTCCCCTCGCGGCTCTCGTCGGGGTCGTTCGCCTTTCCGCCTCAGAGATTCGAAGATCAGAACAAGACGCGACGCTCGTCCGGGGAGACCCTGCCAGGCAGCTGGCCCCTTTCCTTTCCCGCCTTCCCTGCGGTGCCAGAGGGCTCTGCTTTGAATTTGCTGCAGACGAAGAGTGATGCCAGTCTCTACAACCGCGTGCCTGCCCTTGGAGACTCCTTCCCTGTCCTCCCCATTCTCGGGCTCTTTCACCTTATCCTTGGTTTACATCTCCTCGATATGTGGAACCTCCTGCAACCATCGCATCTCCGCGACGCCCTGGGCTTAGGCCGGGTCGGCTGGGGCGGCTCCCGCAGGAGCCTTTTTCACCTCGACGACGCGACGCGCTTCGAAATATCAACAAGCCTGCTCGGAAGGTGAAGGCTAGGTCAGTACTTTACTGAGCCCTCCGACCCAGGCACTCTCCTTGCCCTCGCGCCCTCTTGGGGCCATCCTCGCAAGAGAGAGCAAGGGCAGCAGAAGCGAAGTGTCGGGAGAGTGCCTCTGTTAGTGGCCAGCTTAGCAAAGATCTTGAAGCGGAGCCAATAGGAGACCTGAACACCAGCATCGCGGCACAGCTCAGGTCTTCGAAACCTGCCAGAGGCCGCTGCGTACGGCCGAGCGAGTGAGCGAGCCCTTGGTCAACTTGAGCCCCAAAAGCCAGCGCAAAAAGAGCGGACAGGGGGCAACTCTCTGCAAACACGAATTCAATGCAGAGGCGGCAGAGCCTGGAACTCCTTTTTGGACAAAAGCGCTCGGGGGAGAGAGAGAGGCCGGTGCCAGTACCCTCCAGTCACTGGGAGTCTCAGGGAGTCGCCATGACAGAGTCTTTCGGCAGAGGTGACAAAGTGTGTTGCGGGAAGTGGATTTCTTGCAAACGGCTTCAAGGAAAGCTCTTTCCAGTTTCTGGCATGGCGGCATGGCGGACAATTTATCGTCAGGAAGGAGGTGGGAACGACGAGAGAGGGCCTCCTTGGCCTGACTGTGTAAAAATACAACCGGGACGCCCGGGATGAGGAACTGAAGCGGCTTGGAGCGGCAGCACGACGCAGGCACGATGAAGCGATGAGGAAGGCGACATCATAAGGTTTTATGAGAGGAAGTCAGCTGGAGCTGCTGTTCCGAAGCTCAGCCCTAACAACCAGCGCCCTGTGCAACATGAAGCCGGGCCTTCACCGCTGGGCCGAGGCCCTGCGTCCGGTGGTGGGCCCGGCTTCCTTGGACATGTCTGCTCGAGCCTTGCAAGCTGACGAACGAAGCAGGGAGTCTCGAATTCCATGCATCACGCACGGCCCGAACCTTCCCAGACTGCGTAACAGTCTAGAACCTTCTTTTCCGGCTAGTGGTCTGGAAGCGCCGTGCGGCGTGCAGCGGATACTTTCCTGATGCTTCTGAATTTGCTAGATACCTGGTGCCGGAGAGCAAAACAGGCCGAGAAGTCAGCGACACCAGCGCACCCACTCATGCTGGCATGAGACTACTGCAGACTCGTGCTCTAAGGCATTCACCAGACCCGGCCAGGGCGGTTCTCCCGCACTAGGTCTATATCCCTCCAATCCAAGCCGGCGGCTTTTCGCGGGGGTCAATGAGGGAAGCACCGAAGCATCTATCCGGCTTCCGAAAGCAAGACGTCACAACATCCTAGCATGAAACATGACAATGCCTTAACTTGGGCTCTCGTCCTTCCGAATGTCTGAGACATCTGTGACTTGCGGGCTCTTTTGCGAATTCAGGTCATGGCAATGACCAGCTCCACCGGGCTCCTCGATCAGCAATGTCGCCTGTACCCTGCTGATTACTGACTACTCAAACAGCAAAGACTTAACATTTCGGTTGCAGTTCGGCAGACAAGACATATCACCATCCTTATTATGAACAATTGCAGCAGCTGGACGACAGAGCTCAACCGTCATGCAGGTTCTCGGGCAGACCATGAATGAGAGGAGTGTTGGTCACCCGATTCCCGGTGAATGAACGACAGAGTCCCACCTCTGGGCGAGACATCTATGGATGTGTTTCAGACCTCTGTCCAGCCGTCTTCGGCAGCGACAGAACACATGTTCACTTCTTAAACCCACCCCGGACTCCACGTTCTATGCGTAGTCCCCCGTGAAGATGACTCCGTAAGCTTGCGCTTGATGGAGAGGAGACGCATCTTCGCGAGGGCCGATGGCATGGAGCCGGGGTGCTTGCTGAGAGAAGCAAAGAGAGTTGGGAGAGCTTGGGCGGAAGAAAGGATTCGAGGCGCAGGTCCACCTTTTCACCCTTTAGGAGAAAGTGCCGAGATTCAGGGTAGGGCCCTTTGTTCGTGTTCGGGACGAAGCGGTGGCACTGGCCGATCTGAAGCCCAAGGAGTAACTGCGAAGGTTTTCACAGGGGCAAATGTGGCAGGCAGTATTGTCTGCACATACCCAATGCGATAGACCTGTAAAGTAAACTGATATTTTGTAAGTCTTCGGCATTGCCATTCGGTGCACTGCTAGGCTCAGCCGCTCCGGCGCTCAGAGCCCTCAGCCGCTGCATCACCAAAACCGTCCCTTCTTCTAGTGATGAGCCAGGTAGCGTCCAGCACACCACAGTCTAGATGCAGTCTCTTTGCACATATTAGGTGTCTGAAACACACATTGATCTTGCAGCTACAGCATTGCAAGACTGCCTTCCTCGGACTGTGGCTGCTCCTGCCTGGGAAACATCTCATGCATTCTCCAGATTTGGAACCCCTTCGGCACAACCCCGTCGAAGAGGCGAAGATCCATTTCAATGTCCTGCACCCAAGGCTTCTAGCGGGGAGGATGAACGCTGAATTGTCACAGCACTTGCCTTCGAAAACCGGCACCGATGTTTCGGCACCTGGGCATGCTCTGCTGCGAACGGGCCCGGCCCCGATCGACGGTGACTGCAAGAAGCCGTCGAGTCTTTTCTTCAGGATGGCCACACCCATCATCAGAGGGCAGCTAAAGTCACAGGATGCGGAGAAGATTTAAAGACCCATGGAATTGGGGGTGAAACACAAAGAACAAGAGGTGTCGAAAAGCTCAAGCTTTCAGCACCGTGTTTCAAACACATCTGCGTGTTCTGAAGCAGACGAAGTCTCAGTACAAGTGCGTGCCGCGAGCCCCTCAGTCCAGGACCTCTCCAAAAGACGGCCCAAGAGACAAGAAACCAAGGCTGGTCACGGCTCATGAAAATCATCAGAATCCCTTTACTGTAGCGTCCGAGCCCTAGCGGCCCTCGCCTGGCCGGGCAGGGAGGGCACCGAGGGCACTACGGCCATGGCTCGACCCTCCTCCGAGCCAGGTGGGCCCGGAGTCTCAGCTGCCGGGTCCTCCCCAAAGGGAGTCTCAGCGCCCTCAGACTCGAGGCGACAGTTGGAGGCATCCAGCATCCTGCTAGCATCTGCAAGTTGACCCAACCGGGCTCTGGGGCAGACACGTAGCGAGCAGGCTCCGGCTGCGAGTCCTGCGGCTGTGACGGAGACCGTTCTTGACCCCATCACCAGACTCAGAGCTGTTCTTGGCTTTGCTAGCGGTGTTTCGTGGCAAGGCCACGCACATTCGTGGGTTTGTTGGTGTGACACGCCCCGGACATGTCGAGCCGTTCAAAACAGCATCTCACATGACCTAGGCTGCAAGTCGCCCCTTCAGAGGACGTTCCCTCTGCGCCACAAGCAGTGCCTGAACTTTGACCAGGCATGGAAGCAGAAGGACTATACTGACTACTGTATTTCTGACGAGAAGACCCCCGTGCAGGCATGCATCTGCTCGTGGCCCCAGGAGCAAAAGCAAATGCCACGTCTGGTGACGTGGAAGTGGGCACAAAGCCGGCTCCGGAAGTTCGCGAGGCCTTGCAGAAGTAACCGCTTAGCCGTTTAGCCTCAGCCTGTCAGGTCTGGGAACTTCCATCAGCCAGGGTGCCGAAGGCGCTGCACGGCGCTGCACGTGCTTCTCTCACATGCAGCAAGTTTAAAGAGTTGGGAAAACCACGGCACCGGCCTTGCCTCCACAGACAATTGAAATCCAGGTGCCATGCGAGACTTCGGCAAGATTTGCCGATTTGCAGCTCTTGCATTCATTTCAAGTTCTTCAAGTTCTCAGTCAAGTCGGACAGGGTCTCGGAGGACTCGCTGAAGTCTGCAGACTGTGCAGCCTCACCGCCACAGCACGCCAGAGCAGGCCACAGCCTCACGCCTCCACCTCCTAAAATCCTGAAAGTCCAAAACTTCCGAGCAGCGTCTGCCAGGGCTTCTGCCGCGGTCTGCCCCTCCTGAAAAGCCCCCAGCGAGTCGCTTTCAACGCATGTCTCTCGAGGCAGGGTCCCAGATGGTCCCAGGGTCCCCTGCCTGGAGGGCCACGCCAGTGTCCAGGGATGCCAAGGCCTGTTGCGAAAAGCATCGACTCTTGCTTGGCAAGAAGTAACGAACCCGCATCCGTAAGGGAGAAAGGCCGCGCGAGGGGACTGTGTCGCTGCAAACAAAACTGTCAATCTCACCGTGAGCATGCCCTAACACGCACATCTTGTGAAGCATTCGGTGTGAAAGTTGCGCGTAACAAGCTGCAGCCAACACTTCCTTTGCGCACAACAGAAGCTCTGCTTCTGCTCTCCGAAAAAATGGTTCGAGTCAGGCGCTCACGGGAGCGCGGCGCCTCCCCGATGCCGGCGGTGACTGAGGCCTCGCCGGTGAAGAGGCCCAGCACGTCCAGGGCGGTGGATGCCGTCGCGACCTCGGCACGGTTTGCTTTCCCTTCGCCTTCCGCGGGAGGTGGCAGGAGGTTGCGGGAGGTGGCAGGATGTTGCCGAGACGCCCTAGGTTGTGAAGGGCCTTCTTGCAGCTCGGGCATGATGAGAGGCGGCAACGCGATGACTGCACGTCGGGGATTGAGATGGGGCTCCAACACGGAATTTTCCCTGAAGCCTTTGAAGGGTTCAACACGAGGCAGGTAAGGCAAAGGCACAAGCCCCAGTGTTGAGGCTCCCGGCAAAAGCGATGAACTTCTGCGTGTTCTCGTTCTTCCACGCAGCCTCCGGGGCCCCAGTTTTGACATTATCTTGGCCCGAAGCTCGGAAAACGCCTTGATCTTGTCCCCAAGTGTTTCATCCTCGTACCTCGAAATGGCGGGCGCGGTGACTGTGACACTGCCGAGGCGCTGAACGGGTCCGGCCGGGTCCCCGGCTTGGCAGGCTCCGGGGCCTTGGAGCCGAAGAACTGCGCTGGAACGCGAGGAGCCGCTGCCCGAGGAGCCGGTGCCCTTGGGCACGGCTCAACGTGTGTCCGGCGTATGCCGGCGTAAGTCCACACTCTCTCTCTGCTCTGCATCCTCTGCATCCTGTGCCATTGTGCCATTGTGCCTGATGCCGCCCGGCCTGGTCGTGACGAAGGACAGGGCGGAAAAGGCAGAGCCCAGCAGCAGCGCTGCGATCCCACAGGCCAAGAGCCTCGCAAAGACACTCAAGCGCTATATCGTGTCATCTCAGCGCGCTCTCCGCAAAGCGCGCCGCAGCCTTGTACCGCGGGGACGGTGGAGGGCGCGAAAGGCCATGCTGGGCCTCGGAGTTCGGCACGCAATGCAAGGCCAGGACTTCGAAGGTCACGACTGCGATTCGGGCAGCGGGCTGTGTCACGTTCTGAGGCACAGGTCTCGGCCGACTGGGCACGCTTCGAGCTTTGCTGCGGGGCATGCAAGGCGATACGAGCAGAGTGCACTCTTGAACGGCTCTGAGATTCGCTGAGACTTCACCATGCGAGAAGACTGAGGGACAGAGAGCGAGCAGACCTCTGCAAAATACGAAATTCAGTGACAATGCACAGCCCGTGCAGGCAAACATGTCCTGATCTTATCAATTCAAAGGCTTTAGGCGCTCCTGCTGGAGCACCTCCGCAGCCCCGCGAGTGCGCGACCGCCTCGGTGGGAGGACCTGAGCGGATACCAGTAGAAGTATCACTGCAGGGGGCCGTGCCGCCGGCAGTGCACTCACACCAGGGATCCCGGGCCAGCTCCGGGCAGCGCATGGGGCAGTGCCGGCTGCGCTGGAGCCAGGCGGTGATGCACTCGCCGTGGAAGACGTGCGAACCTCGGGCCGTGCTTGGCGGCTGCAGCTCACTTCCTTCTCAGGAAGTCTGGGATGTTGGCATGGCAGCTGCACCGCGGCCTCGTCCTGGCGCGACCCACGACAGTGGCCTGGCTACTCGAGTGATCTGCACGGCCTCTTCGAAGTCGCAGAGGCAAATCGCACAGGTCTGCGGCATCCCCTGAAGAAAACAGAAACCATCCAAAGAACTTGCGCCTGCAACTTCGGTACTGCAGCAGTATAAGAGTATAAGACCAGTACTACTCAATCCTTCATTGAGGCCTCCTCAGGAGTGAGCTTCACGTGCCGCGCCCGGTGGAGGGAGCGCCCCTCCGCCGTTTGCACCTACGCAGAGGCATACGCTCACGTCCTTCGAAAGGGATCGGACTTCGCACTCTTAGCTGCCGACGGGAGGTTGCGGCTTGGTGGAGAGGGCGGCCAAGAGCGTCACCGTGTCCACGAAGCAGAGGAAGATCTGAGGAGGAGAATCGGAGACAAGAAGCGCCGAGCGGCAAACTACCGCTCAGCCAAGCGGCATTGGCCACCAAGAGGATGCCGAACCAAGCCTCACAGCACTTTCAGCACCCGCCTGTCTTCCGCTGCACTGTGGCGCAGCCCAGAACCGGCCTCCTGCAAGCCCACGTTCAAGGGCGTGCTAAGCAAATACCTCAGTAAAAGCAGCATTGTCAGTGGGGGAACGGCATGGGACAACTCCCATTTCACCAAGAAGCCACATGTCCAGCGTGATGGCCACGCCCCATCGCACTTCCGCTGCCTGCCTCAGCACGGCTTGACAGTGATAGGGCATGGCAGAGGGCTCCGGGGTCTCGGGTCCCTGCAACATGCCAGTGTAACCCTGCATCCTGCAGACTGGGAAACGCGCAGACACGCGGTGGACGACGGAGTGCCCGCGCGTGGCGCCTCCACCGCAGGCACTCCGGGACGCAGTTCCAGAGTCGGGCCCTCGTTCAGCGCGCGGGAGAACAAACAAGAAAACGCGTCGCGATGCAGGCAACAGGCGCTCCGCGCTCCCCTTCGCGGCTCTCTGAAACCTCTGCCGAGGGTCAGGTGGAGGCAGCGCGCCAGAGCCCCGATCACTGGAGCCAGCCTGACAAGGCTCCCACACCGGAAGAGGAAGACAGAGAGAGAGAGAGAGAGCGGGGGGGAAGAGCAAGGCAATCTTGAGATGCCTCACCAGGGACACGGCCAGCCGCAGCACCAGAGGCCAGGGGCCCTGCAGTTTTTCAGCGCGGGCGCAAGCGCTGCTGGCGCAGGGCGGCGCTGTCTTTTTTGCCGGTGCCGGGCCCCCGGCGATGGACAGCGACATCAGCTCCAGCTCAGCGAAGATGCTTGGGATCACCACTGCCACCTCGACGGAGCGCTCTCCCGCTGAGACCATGTCACAATGTCCGCGCCTCCAGCACGGCGCAGGCCACCACGAGGAGCCGGGCCATGAGACGCCCGAGCCTGCAGCCGTGACGGCTGCTGGAAGCTGCTGGAAGCTGCTCCGTGCAATGCTGGGAGCCCGTGCCAACTCGTGCTCGGCGTGAGCCAGCTCATGGAGGCCAATCTCGAAGGACACAGCACAGCATCGACGTAGCAGCACAGCGCCCCTTCAACCCCTTGGCTGCGTCTTCTGGGCGGCTCACGAGTCCGAGTCCGAGCTCGTCATGGAGCTCGCCGAGGCCTTCAGAAGAGGTGGCAGAGGTGGCAGAGGCGAGCACAGCTGCGACGGAACGAGCGGGCGCCGGACCAGGCCGGCTTCCGCGCGCGAGAGCCCGGCCATCCTGCGACTTGGCTTTGCATGCGAAGGGGGTCCGGTCCGGGTTTCATCACTTGCGTCCTGGACTCGGCTCCCCTCGTCTCCGCCAAGAATGCATTGCGACAACTACCACGAGAAGCTTCCTTTCTGAGAAAACATGGGCTCTGCGGCGGTTCAGGGGGGTTGCGTTCGTTCTCTTTTGTTGGTGCAGTTTGTACCTCTTGTGAAAATACCTACGCGTACCGCCACTGATGCTGCCGGCACCCCGACGGGTCGCTGCTGCCTGTGTTTGCGAGCCAAAGTTGCAAGCAAGCCGAAAGCCGCATGTGGAGAGCTCGAAGCATGCAAATACAAGTGCGAAAGCATGGGAAGCTGAGACAGCCACGGTCGGTAGGATGCTATGCAACTGCTAGCATCCTAGGACGCGACTCAGGAGACTCGTGTGCTGCTTCACTGCCGGAAGAAGAATTCAGCTCGGCGCAATAAAGCTGGATGCTGGGCCTCGAAGGAACAGCATCTTCCATGTCTTCGTCTGCTCTCAGCCGCGAGTTTAAGCCGCAGGCACCCAGGACCAAAATTTTGACAAGAGCCTTGGCTTAGGTATGCGGCTATCCTTGGAGCACGCGACTCGCTCCCGGCCAAGCAGCCCGGTGGGTGGCCTCCTGCAGCTCACAGCTGCTGGAAGCCGTGGTCGCCTTGCGCAGCAAGACAGAAGGAAGCTCAGAATGTAGCTGGCAGTGCTCTTGCGATCGCCTGAATCAGCGGGTAGAAGGATGCCTGGAGTGCGAGACATGTGATGAAGCTGCAAAACCCTGGACAACACTCTGATACTGAAAATGCGTCGAGGCACGCCGAATAGCGGCGGCCTCGGGCAGAAAGTGCATTCAAGACCCCTCCCACAAGACTCCGACGGGACGACGCTTCTTCTTTGTGCTGCTGCGGATCATCGTCTGCACCCGGTGGCGCTGGCTGAGCTCCTGAAAGCCGGCGACCCAGTAGGCTGAGGGGACCTGGTGCGAGTCCACGCAGCGACAAGAGTGGGCCCTCGGCATCGGGGGCATGGAGCCTTCTCTGGACGAAGACAGTCTGCAGGAAGCAGCTGGCTCCACACCAGGCCGAGGCAGAACCTCAATCAAACACCGACGCAAAGCTCCGCCGCATCCCGCAAACCCTTTGAACCCTAATGCCGAAACCGCCCTTCAGCCCTCTCCCAAGCTGCTGGGCTTCCAAGCAAGCCGAGGGCGAACTCGCGAGGTGGGCTCCGGGAAGAGCTGGCCTTTTCGAAACAGACGCATGCATGCATGCGTATACATACATATATACATATATACATATATATATATATATGAGATGTTTTGATGTAGTACATGTGCACATACATGTGTGCATAATCTGTATATATATATATATATATATATATATATATATATGTACTGTTCTAAGTTATTGAATACTTTTATATCTATATCTATATCTATATATACATATATATATATATACATGTATACTATGTACACAAAATATGGTGGCACGTTCCAAAGCACAGGCGGTGGTGGGACGAGACACACCTCCACGAAAAGGAGCAGGCGAGCGAAGTACATGGCCCGGGTCTTGACCTGCATGTGTGTCACCGCGTCACTACGTCGCCTCTTCTGCCTCTGCGGTCTGGGGAGACTTCGGTCTCTGAGCCTCTGCCTCTGCCTGCCTTCACACGCCGTGGCCACGAGGCCCCGGCCCAAGAAACGGCCGTCTCGTGCTTGTGATCGGTTAAGATATTGAAGCGCTGACAGTACCTCAAAGGCAAAGGAGCTGAACGCAGAAGTTCTTAGCCCTCCTCAAAACCAGCTCACGTGGAGAGCCACTGCTGCAGGAGCGGCGCGTCGATCTGCCACTGCAAGACCTCTACGTGAGGTGCACAAGAAACTACTTGCAGACGTGTGTGCAGTGGAGGATGCAGGCCTCGAGAATGTCAATCTCATGTTGGCCTCACTTCATCAGGATGAAGGAATAGATAGCAGCTTCCCAGTGGCTCCAGTCTTGGGGTTCGGCTGAGCATGATTTCGGTAAACTCCAGGCTCTCCATTTGGTGGCCTTGCGACGGGCTCTTGCCAACGGAACTGCCGGCTATTGCCGCCGTTTGTGCCTTGATCTTGCATCGCTTTGGCCAGCTGCCGTGCTCCATCGAGCCACTGAGCAGAGGTGGAGCCTCAGTTTCGCAGTGTTGGGGACGTGCAGTCGGCAGTCGCTTCTCCGAGGCAGTGACCGAATTGGTCGGCGACGTTGCCGTGGAACTTCTTCACCAACCTCACCTTTGCTAGACTCCTATACTCGAGCCAACAGGATCCTACCCTCCGGGACCCGCCGAGGGCATCACCACTGCGACGCAGGTCAGCGGAAGCTTGCTGACATCAAGTTCCTTAAGGGCACAGGAGGCACCGCTGTACCTACTCGTACGAGTAGTCGCCTTAGGTGCGGCTCTGCAAAGTCAGAATTGAAGAACCGCAGCATGTCACTGCAAGAGTTTTGCTGACGCTGTCGACTCTATCACTCTATCTCTTGTGTACCATGTCTGCTATAGCGACAGTGAAACCTCTGTTTTGCTTTGCAGGTTGTCTTCACCAAGGCGAAAAGATGGCAAAGGCGATGCGACAAAGGCAAAGATGGAAATGCACACATGGAAGGTTCGTTGAGCTGACCAGCGCCTGATCGCTCCAGCCAACAAAAATTCGGCGTTTTCAGCGTCTCTCAATCTCTTGCGAAATCATGATGCAACAGAGTTGTGCCGGTACTGTGGGCCGGGCTCCCGCTTTGGCCAGGTAGGAGTCGAGTACGGACACGGCAGTGTACCAACCTAAGAGAAGAAGGAGCGAGGGCAGAAAGTCGAGCGGAGTCTCACGGGGCTGCAGCTGTCTTGGTCTAGGCGGTGGTAGCTAGAAAGTACCATCATGCCCTGGAGCACCATGGGCCGCAGCCCGGCCAGTACCTGTTGCACGAGGCTTTGTACTCATGAACCTCTGAGGAGAAGAAAAGCGCACGTCCTCCGGTGTCGCGCTCTCCAGCACCTTGCCGGAAGCGGAAGAAAGCCAGGAGCTCTGACAGTGTTCGCCCTCGGCTGCCTCCTTCTCCTCCTGCAACAGCTGCTCGAGGCGCTCGTTCGATGCACCTAACTTGTGCTGCCCATCAACGGCTCCGCTTCTCCGATAGCACCGACAGGTGTGCGGCCGTATCGGTGCAGCGAGTCCTCGAAGTCCTCGGTAGGATGGCACAAGCACAGATCCTTCCGCCTTCGTCGCCGCAGGATCACAGTCCTTCGTGAGCACAAGAGGATCCAGAAGATGGCCATTCATCAGACCACCTCACAACAGCAGAAGCCACGACTCATCTGATGAGAGCGACATCGGCCTTGCAGAAGAGGAAGGACGACCCGATGCAAATCCGGTCCTGGGTTGGAGCCGCGTTCCCCTTTCGGTTCCTCTTTCGGGGAACGCTGACGTGACCTCATTTCCCATGTTCAAAACGAGCCCGGGGCCCGCATCTTGCAGCTCTTGGGCCTTCTGCAGTGCGAGAGTGCGAGTTCGAGCTGAGCCCCTCAACTTCTGGCAGAAGGCACGCGGCACATGTACTGGGGGCGGTGCTGCGATGACCACGGTATCGGTCGTCGACATCCTAAGCACGACTGAGTCCAAGACGAGCCCGAGCCCGAGCCCGAGCCCGAGCCTGGCTGGGACAGAGATGCCACCGGATGTCCCAAGGGAGAGCCGGACCGGAGGTCTCTTGAGGAAATGGCAACAGCCGTGACGTGCCGCGTGGCCTTCCTCTGTCTGTGAACTGTCAACAAACTACGAGCACGAGCAGAAAGACCACGAGACCACGACTACAGTGACAACAGACGGCAAGTGTTTTGGACGTGTTGAAGGCAACAGCACTTGTGGCTGGTAGGGGCTTCGGCGCCTTTGGCACGAAGGCACTTGCAACCTGCCAGAGCTGGAGGGCCAAAGCAGTTGTGAGTTTGGACAGCTCTTCTCTGAGCCTCTTTTGACATCCCGTATCCGCCAGAGGGTTCCGCTCTCGGTGGAGTGTCAGCCTCACTTGCAGACTACGGAATATGCTTCGCATGCTTGGCAGGGTTGAGGCCTCCCGCAGGTACACGATGGCCTGACCAAGAAAGCCAAGGAAAGGTGACCGCGCTGCCACAACACCCACCAACTGTCAACAGTCTGTCCAGAAATCACCTGCTAGGGCTGGCGGGATGCTGCCTCAAAACAGAAGTGCTGAGATGGCTAAACCGCAAAACATGCGCCTGAAAACGAATTCGTCAGAAGGTTGACAGCAACCGGGACGATCCCCAAAGGCTGGTAGCCTGGTAGACCTTGAACCTTCACAGATCAACAGCTTACGCCCAACCTCTGCCAAACCCTGGAAACCCCGACCTCGGGCAGACCGAATGGAAGCTGGGCCGCATAGCCGGCACCCGCATCGGCACAGATCAAGCCTCGTCAAAAGTGCTGTGAGAACTGTTTCCAAGAAAGGCCAGAAGAGTCAAGAGGTACCGGCCGATCAACTGGAGAAGCACGCTCAGCCCACCCATACGCTCCAACGTCTCTGAACCTGTTCGCAGACAACTTTCAACTGTTGGATGCGGGACCTGGGACGATCGCTGGGGCGAGGGCCGAATCGCTCTGCAAGTCGCTTTTCGTCCACCCAACTCTCGGTGGCCTCCGCAGGCGCACAGGCATTGTTTCCTATGCCCGCAGACTCGCAGAGCAAGAGAGAGCCTCGCCAGCATAGTGGCAACATGTGAGCACGGTCTCCTGGCCAATCTCCCCCAAGGTTTCCCGTTCCCTGTTCCCTCTCTTTCCAGACCTCGTCCAGGAGCCATGTTGCTTTGAGATTGGGGACTTGTACAAGTTGCCCGCTTCGTTGAGAGAGTTCCTGGGCAATCATCTCTCGACAACACTGCCTCTGGAAACCTTCTGCCTCTTAAGTGGCTGCTGCTTCCTGACACGACGACAAACGACGCTTACAAAAACAGAGACGACGTACTTGGGTTACGAACGATGGGGGCACGTGACGGCCCCTCAAGCAAGAGCAATCCGACAGGTGCCGTGCAGCCACGCGAGACCAACACAGTTGCTTATCGGCCCTTGAGGTTAACCGAAAGTCTCGGCTTCTGGATCGCTGCACTTGCCGAAAGCATGACACGTTTTTATGAAGCTTAAAGCCGATCTTCGCAGAGCCCTGGACCCACGTTGGAGAGGGGTCCGCACAGGACCGCTGCTCGTAAACTCCTCACTGGGGCGTGGGTTGTTGTGAAGGACGATGCATGACTTTCAAACGCGGAGACTCTGCAACAATCTTAGAAATGAAGCTGTCCATCGAACATGCCAACTGCTCAATGCAAAAAGTTGCTTGATCTGCTACCACACCTGCCGGCACTCCTCGCATGCCGACTATCGAAAAGTCCATCTTCAGGCAACGGACCTCGTGAGCTGGTCATCCTCTCATCCCTCAACGAACGCAGTGCTTCAGTCCCCGCCAAGGCTGCAGCGGAAGAAGCAAAGGTCACTTCGTGCGAGTGTACCTAGGAGAAAGGCATCTTCTCTAAGCGCATGTTCAGGGCAGAAGCTGAGAATGGAGCATGCAGCCGATCAAAAATCTGATTGATTATGCTGCAATCTTTGCCTCCGGCCCGAAGCACAAGCTCAATCCGAAGTTGAAACTCAATGCATCCGCCTGCAGATTGCTTCCACACCCTGAAACGCGAGTTCACAATCCTTGGAAGGCAACTCTCAGCAGATGACCATCAAGTGCGTGCTGGTCAAGGGGTAAACTCTGTCCTGTTGGAATCATGTCCGTGCGTAGTGAGCTCTTCTGCCTCCGCGGCTCCCTCACCTGGCCATAGCAAATCTCAGACCAGCGGAGGCTCAGCCACCAGCGGAGGCTTCGAGGCGACCTTGTCCTTCGCCTTCGCTATCGTCAGCACTCTCATACAGCTCGTCAGCTTCCAATGTCGAGTACCTGCCATGTTGCAGAGCCCCTTCTTGCACATCCCACGACATCTGGATGTCAGCCAAGAGGCACTATCGGCCCTGCAGAGAATGAGTCCATCGGCTGCGCGGGTGAGTAGCGATCTTCAACTTAACTTTTCTGTCACGAGGCTCCAGGCTCTGCTCAAGCTTCTGCGTGTGTTCAATATGTATTTCTGTCAATGCCTCGATCTCTTCTCGAATTCCTTGTCAGTTCGGGAAGTGTCAGAAATCGACCGACCCGCTTCCGCGAAAGGCCAAAGGACGCCTTGAGGTCTGAACTTCACCCTCTATTACCTGATTACCCGAGACGCGATGATGTCTGCAACAGGATATCGTGAAGGCAGCTTTTGCGCTCCACAAGCAGCAAGGACCCCGTCCCCGAACACGACGGGACCGATCGGTGTCCTCAGGAAACTCTTGCCCACGTAATCGAAGTCGATCGCAAAGCCATGGTACGCCAGAAAAGACCGCACTTGCCGGTGAATCTTGCGCCCATGCGTGCCAACGAAGAGGTGCTGCACTCGCCTGCAGAGCCAATCAGACGCTCAAACAAGCATAGCAGCATACCTCATACTTCAAACGTCAGCATCCCACAGTCCAAAACCTGCACACAGCCACTGCACACAGCTCTCTGCAGCTCTTCCATTGCAATCCCAGAGGCGGCAAGCGGACGCTCCTCTGTACAAGCTCCAACTCTGCCTCGACAGGCCAGGCTGCAACGGAAGCTCTCGCGGCAATATTCTCGACGCAAATAGCTGAAACCTAAACCCCTGCACCTCCCTGTCTCAGTCAACTTTGTCTGTGACACACGACGTACAAAGCCTCCTAAAACCTACGTGTGCCTCCTGGATGTCCACATGCAACAGATCCACTGTCCCGAAGAAGTCGATGAGTCTATCCAGCAGCGATGCAGTTGCCCTGGACTGGAGAAGGGTTATGTTGCACAGGTCGTAAATACCGTTGCGCTGGAGGTTCGCAGCGGCAGAAGATGTGGCTACCATCGAGTCAATCAAGACCAAATGACAAGCTCCAGTGTCGGGAAATCGTCGCCTGAAAGCTTTCGCGGCCTTCGGCGCCCAGTAGCCAACGCTGGCACCCGCCTCTACCACAACAAAGGTGCCAATGCTAGTCGCAGTCTTCACCGCTTGCAATAAGCAGAGGGTCTCGAAGTAATCCTCCCCCGCCACAGGGCCCCAGGGCAGGCCGAGGCACTCGAGCATGCGTGTCATCTCAGGTTGAGTCTGAGGCCTCTCGCTCTCCAAGCCTTCCCCGCAGTCTTGGACAAGCCCTAGCCAATCAGTCGCTTTTTGGCGCACTCTCGGAGGCCTTCTGGGGATCTGCATACTTTCTTGGCAGGACGGCGACCAGGCTTTCACCAAGTCGTCGTGTGGGAAGCACTCTTCGGGCTCCCAAGCGTTGTAAACAGCGCAAGTATGCCCCAGCTCTTTGCACCTCGCTGTGTGGTTTGCCACGAGCCGCAACAACTTGGTTCCCTTACGTTGAAACTCCCAACCAGAGCCGAGCTGTGTGTGCTTGCCGTACGCAGTTCTCCACCAAGTCTTGTGTTGGCGATCCTGCTGCAGCTCGGCGACTCGGTGCTCAAAACTATCCAAAATAGGAAACTGCTTGTGCACAGAAACCGTCGAACATGTGCTGTTGTGTAGCTCGTTCGACACGACGTCGTAGAGGACTGCCATGCCGAGCATGGCACGCGAGCATCTCACGATGTGTTGCTCTGGCTGAGTAGGGCCCTCCCACAGCTTCAAAAACTCCAAGCACAAGTTTCGTACTTCATTGGGCTCCACGAAATAATGGCAACCTCCGTCCAGGTTATGCACCCGCCGGATGAGTTGGGCAGCCTCGTGGCGCAAGGACCGAGAGTCCGTCAAGCAGTCGTCAAGCAAATCCTTGTCACGGACCGCGTTCAACCAAAGAGAGTGTCCAGGGTCTCGTGCCTGTATAACAATGCATCTCGCAGACAGCAGACAAAGGAGGATCCAGCCGATCCAGCGTCCCCGCGGCCCCCGCCACGTACCCATACCCGTGCTCCTTTTTGGTCACGACAAAGAGATCCTGAACCCGACCACAAGCATTTTCATGTTGTTGGCTTGCTTCAATAACCAAAAAAACACGCTACTTCATGTCTCATCACTTCCAAGCTTCGATGGAGCCCTGCGCAGAAGCGTGCACGTTGCAAGTCATGTTGCAAGATGGTTCAATAACACCACGAATGCAAAGGATCTACGGAACCACCTGCTACCTTCGAGCTGAAGAGGCCAAAGCATCAACTATCCTTGGATCAAACTATTCGGCTCCCAACTTCAACAACGACAACTTCAAAGCAATCGGAAAACTTCTCGACTGCACCCCAACAACTACGAGCTATGAGCGTCTTGTACATATTGGCCAAGTATTGAACCGAACTTGCTCCGAAATGTGCAAAAAATCGTCACCGGAAGCTCAGACTGCTCAACCGCAAAATGGTGTCACTGCCTTGGGTCGGTAAAACACTGTTGTCATTGAATTTGCAAAAAATTGGCCAAGACTTTGGAGACTGATGGGTGGGATTTTTTTCCGGCGTGGTTCGTCAAAACCTGCAAATGCACTTACCGTTACTGTTTCTTGTGGCCTCAAGCAAAAGTTTGCACACGCCACTGCATCTGAATGCTCATGAGTGTGCGAAATAAACTTGCTGCGCGATACATCGAATCTTCTCCGCTGAGCGTCAACGGCTGGACACATTGAAAAGATTTTGATTTTGTATGGCGTAATTCGACTCACTGCAGACAGCAGCGCCCAATCCGTCAAGAAAAGCCAACATCGCAATAATAATAATAATGACCAAACAAATGCTAAATACTGACAAAAGTAAAATATACGGTCTTCGTTCTGGCTTACTGTTTTTTACGCCAAAACTCCGCCTAATGCGTGAGCTTCCCGTTGAGGAAGTGCGATTTTGGCAGAGCCGTTGGCAGCATCGAGCGTCAGTGAAAAGAGAAAGACATACCATGGCCGCCACGATGCAACGCTTGCAAGACATCTGCCGCTGTGGCAAAACACCATGTCCCTTCCTTCAAAACCTTCCTAACCGTTCGTTGCCGAAGCTAGGCGAAGAGTGGAGAAATGCAAGACGTCGGCCGCCCTCCCAACAACGGACAAAAAATCTATGATTTAACCTTAACAAAACCTATAGATAGCATAGATTTACAAAACTTAAAGAAAGGAGTTCATCTACCCTTTTTAACCAAAAATGAATACTTTTGGGCTCAAAAAACTGTACTAAGCCTACATTCCCTCCTTTACAGGCATATAACAAAAGATCAGATCTAAATGTAAGGCTGTTACTTTGATATTGGAGTCCATCCTTTTTTTAGTGTTCTAGTTGATTTACGAGGTCTGTTTTATGATTTAATAATTTGTTTTACAATATTAAAATGTCTTTTTCGACAGGCTATACCTAAAGTTTTCAAGAGCTTCTTTTTTCTCTGTGTAATATTTCTTGTTCACTTAAAGGCCTCATAGTATTTTTTACGAAAGTATGTACAGTGTAAAGGTACTTATTATGTATTGTATATAAAAAGATAATCATCTACTATTTTTAGATCGATGGGAAAAACATACCTGCTAACATACCATGAGTTTCTTGCCGTTTTATTTTCTTCTAACAATTGATTGTTTGTCTTGTTTATTAAATTAAACCCATCTTTTTGATTAACTACACTTACATCTTGATTAACTACACTTACATCTTGACAAACAGAAGGATGATATTTTTTATCTGTTTTTTAAGACTAGCAATACTCATTTCCTGATGTATACAAATAATTTGGTGGTTAGTTTGGGCTTTGCAATTTTTTTCTACAATTTTTTTCAAGATAAAAATCAAGCTATTAGCAATTTTGTAAAAGATTATCTTTTTTTTTGTTGAAATTTCCATGGTTTTCTTCTTTTTTGTACTTCGTATCCTCAAAGTGCTTTCTGACAGCATTAGCTCCGTTGTCAAGGAGTAGTTTAGTTTTTCAGGTTCCCCAGCCTACAAGCCTCTCAACATCTTTTATCTAAGTTAAAATCACTAACAGCCTGCAGGGGTTGGTTTTTTTTTCAGGAGTTGAGATACTACTTGTTCAGCTTTTTTCTTTTTCAATTGAAAACTCCTTTCTACCAAGCTTAGCTGCTTTTCATATTTTCCCTTCCACCTGTTCCTTCGCAGCTATGCACACCAAAGTCCCTCCATCGAGCATCGAATGCAAGCATCTCTGCAACTGGCCTTCCCGTGCATCCTAAGCCTTTTTTGGCGTGGGCGGGCCTCGTCGACTACAGCTGTAGCACTCGGTCCCTACAAACTAACCAAACCAACAAACAACAAAAACAGCGGTGAAACGGGGCGGCTCGATAATAGAGGCAAAAAAGCTAGCTGCGGCGCACACGCTTTGCCGGTGTTGGCCGTTCAGCACGAGCTACGGGGCCTCAGCGACCGGTCCACAACAGCAAAAGGCCGTCGCCTAGAGCCGTCCAAGACCACCGGTGGAGCCCAAAGTCGGAGCTCCGGCCGCCGTTCTAGTTCCGTCGAACAACGGTCAGCCCCGGGGTCCTGTTGTGTCGCGATCGTGCACACAAAATCCACAAGTCCACAAGGAGCCCATGACCAGCGGCAAGAGCTAGGAGATGGACCCTACGACGTATGTCGATGGTCATGGATGGCCAATGCTGGTATGCGACGTCCACACCGTCACTGGGTGCGATCCATGGTCGAAGGCCACGGCCAAGCATCCAGCAGGCGCTGCATGTCGTTGCCGCTGGTCGGAAAGTGGGATTCGCGTAACATGTATAGCAATTGGTAATTGCGCTGCTCATACAGCTCCTGCAGGCGGCGGAAACCATACCGGAATGTATCCTGATCCGGCTCATGGAGGTGCGGCATCAGCTCCGTGGAGATGAACGGAATTTTGATGCCTGGGCCGATTCCACCCTGCTCAATGAAGGCTTCAGCTTCTTGTCTCCAGTTTTCCTGGTCCCAAGGGTCCCCTAGCCGAAACCACGCACGGCGTCCGTCGGGCAGGGTCTTATCGTTCGACTCTTGGGCCACCAAATGGTTGATGAGCACCTTGGCCCTCGTATCCCACGCGTCGAAATGAGCGTGACGCCACAGGCGCACCGGGAAATAGAAGTCCTTTCTTTGTGGGCCTCGCAGCCAATAAGCCACCACCGCGCTAAGGTCCCAACCAGAGGTGGTAGCAGCCGCACGAAGGCGCCACATGGCAGCATGCAGAAGGCCGGCGGACTGGATGGGAAGCGCGGGCTGCGCTTGCAAACCCAAGGGGACATCGTCCAACGGGAGCAAGAGTCTAAAAGTGCCCTTGCACACGCCTGGGTAGGAGAACATTTGGGGATCGAAGTCATCTCGTCTGGCCGGGAGAAGCCCACGATGGAAGCCCACGATGGAAGCCTTCCATCAACCGTGCGGCGATAGCGATTTGGGGCTGCCCGACAAGGGATGCAGGCACTTCCACCTTGACCCGTACCTCAAGGAAATGCAGATCATTGTGGCAGACTGGGGAGATGCGCACGAGTTGTAGAAGGGGAGCTGCTTCCGGCTCGTCCACCAGGGCCCGCGTAAGGTAAAACAACAACTGCACCGGCAACAGCGCGCCGCAATGAAGCAAGGGGGTGCCCTGATTCGGGTCCACGCTCGAGCTTCCCTCCTCCGTTGTTCGCCGGACGCCTGAGCCAGTGCCACGGCGCTTGCCCGTTGGCAAGGGAGGTCGCTTAGGTGCCAGAGACATTTGGATAAGACTGCCATCGCGGACTGGTGACTTATGACCAGCCTTGGCGCTCGGGAGCGAGAACTTGAGACCATCGAGTTCGTCCAGGAGAAACCACCACCAGATCTCCGGTCGAGCCAACTCGTACCACGAAAGGTCGAAGACACGCCCTTCGGGTAACCGCAACACAGGGTCGCAAAACTGCGCCAGCGCAATAGACACTGCCAGCAAGGGAGTGAGGCACACTCGGAAGGCCTCACTTTCCGTACAGTGACGAAGCATTAGCGCACGATCTGCAAAATCGACCACTCTGACGCCGAAATTTTGAGGACTGACCTTAACTTCACACGCCGGCAAGGAAAGAGGCAGCGAAAGAAGGGAAAGGCAGTCCGTCCGGTCAGGGAGCAGTTGGTTCAGCGCAGCCGCGCTTGTAGGGCCGTCGATGTGCAGCTGCTTCCTGCCCTTGACCTGGTAGCTGCGGAGAATGTCGTGCTGCTCCGCGAAGTCGTCTTCATCTTCAGGCGGCACGCAGTTGCTAGGAATGGCGGTGACACCGAGCAACAAGCGGTTAGGCGGGTATTCCACGGCGTCCAGCAGTGCATCCACCCTTTCCTTCCATGTAGCACTGGGGGCTTTGGGAGTGGAGGCAGCACAACTTTGGCTGCGAAGCTCGGCGGTCAAGTCAGGGTCCTCTTTAGCCGGAACGCCATCCTCCGGGTCGGGCTTAGCGAATCCGGCGGTATCGTAGAGGGCACGGGGCAGGCCCGTTGTAGCAACCGGCGGGAGAAGGGCTTCATGTTGACTCGAGCTGCGCAACAGCGTGGATACACAGCGCTGGAGCCTCCCCAGCAACGTCAGGTTGACGGTGTCCGAGGCAATAGCATAAAAATAGAATGCGCTTGGCACATCCGCAACTAACATGTCGGCGGCTGCCGCCTGGTATCGGCACACGGTCGCACGCGTATCGAGTGGCATGTGCTCCCCAATCAAGGACCGGTGGTGCTGGGAGAGGAGGGCGCTGTAGGCCCGCTTGGGCGGCTGCAAGCCACCCCCCTTGTGAGCACGGAGACGGTGGAGACCGATGCGAGGCGGGCTAGTAAATTCCAGCAACCCAATAATGGGATGCTTGGTGTCGAGCACAGGGTAGAAGTAGAAGGGGCGTACTGTGATGGGTTGCCCGGTGGGACCACTGCACGAAATCCACACCGCGTAGCGGCGTAGAAGCAGCAGCAGCTGCACAGGGTGGTCGGGCATTCCGCAATGAGCGACCAAAGCAC